TCTTCGATCTTTCGACTTTGATGCTATCAAAGCTTTTCTTTTTACTTGTTGATCAAGCTACCATGGTGATGGCTAGCTAAACACCTTTTGTGTCAAGATTAGAGATAGTTAACCTTACTAGTATGTATTTCTTTTGATATTTTGTATGTGAACAAGGTTGATGATCAATATATGATGAAGATCTTTGATTTTATTGATATATGTATGGTTTGAATCATTCTAGACATAGACTTTCCAAGTCTTGACCTAAGTTCTTCATCTATTAACAGACAAAATCTAGACATATATTTGAGAGTTAATATTTACTTTGTATCGATTTTTATGTTTATTGTTTCGATTGTTGGTTTGAGAGATCATTTAGCGATTGAAACAATAATACCCACGAAGCCGCTTTAGAAATAAACGGATTCGAGAGGATATACGATTGTATTGATCTAAACTAAGTTCACATGCTTGAATAATCTGATATGTATGAAAGAGGTTAATGAAATCTAATCTTGACATGTTTTTCTTAAAACAAACATCTTTCTTTAGTTTACTCTTTGCTACCAAAATATATGTTACAAAACAAAAACTCTTTGAAAACCCTTTTCTTAGAACTTTAAACTGTTGAACGACAAACATCAAGTTATCAGGACAATCCCTGCGGATACGATAAAATAACCCACCTAAAATACATTTCAACATGAATCTGACTTGCGAAAGGCAGAAGATGTAGTCTCCAGCATGGTAGTCAAAGGTTTTGTCTTAGGGAAAAACATTGTCAACTGTCATACCCCAATTTTACCCCTAAATCAATAAATTGATACATTTATCATGACATTTGTATCATCTACATATCATGACATGTATTTCTTTTTGCATAACATTTAAAAAGTCGACCAGAATAAAATTTCAATTTTACAGACATACTAATTGAATCATTTTTCAAATGTGCGTAAAATTATCGAGCGAAAAGTTTCAAGATTGAGCTTGCAGCTATCAATTTTATTGATCTGCAGTTCATGTAGTTTAACATGGCGTGCTCATTTAATTTTTTCGATCCCATTTACGTTCGCATTTTGATCAGCCTGAGCCTTTTCAACCAGACATTTTTATTGCAAAATTTGATCTTTATCTGTTTGTGTTCTAGAAATTTATTTTACGCAGATCATTTTATTTTTTTCGCGCATTTATGCGCCTGCTTTTTATTCATTTTAATTCCTTTTATTTTTGTTTTTTAATCAAAATGTCAAGAAAAAATAAATAGGATTGATGAAACATTCAAATTTATTACAAAAATTGAATTTCATTTAAATTTTAATTACCATACTCATTTTCATACCAATTTTGATTTAAGGGTAGTTGTGGAATTATATTTTCAGAAAACCCTAACCACATGACATATATAGTAAGCGACTTGCATTGAAAAAAAGACTCAGAATCATCAAACCAAGGGAGAGAGTGGTGCATACCATTTCTCATAGATATCTCTCATTGAAAATGAAGAAAGAAAAAGGAAGCTGGAAGTGAAAATGTGAGATCATTTTCTTTCTCTTCTTCATTTATTTTCGCACAGTAAACTTCTTTCTCTCAAATATGATAGAAACACAACGAAACAAAAACATGGAATAACTTGATTTCAAATGTCGTCGCCATCATTATCATCAATAGTTTTTCCCACCTCCATCGACCAAACCGCACCACTATGATAATCTCTCTCTACCACCAAGCTACGTCGTGAAACACACTTTGAGCATCCACTCAACCACCTTTACCATTTCAACATCCCTCAATTATTTACCACAAAACCCGACCTCCACCTTCAGTCTGACCACCAACACTCATCTCAACACCTACGCTTAACTTCACAATCTGACCAACACCCTTCCTTTCTCCGTTTCACCTTAAACCACATCTGATCAAGAAAAATCGCAACAACAATAACTCATCCATACCACCAACTTCGTCGAATCTATCTCTCAAGTCTTCAACCTCCCTTCAACGGAAATCTGCTCCGTATTCATCATCATTACCGTGCGCAATAATGCTCAACATCTCAAGCTTAGTACGCAAAGCAACTGAATATGTGGCGAGATCAACGTTATTCATCGAGGTTCAAATGGTGTTTCAATTTGTTAATCTCTTTTTATAGTGTTTTGATTTTCTATTTGCGTGTATCATATTGGCATACTCAATTTTATTCTTTTTAAGTGTTTGATATGTATGTTGCGGATTTGAAAGTGTTGTTGTGTTTTGTTTTCATCATGTTATGATTTTCGAATGTGTCTGATTCATTTTGATCATGGTAGGATCATTGTGTGTTAGCACATTGCCATGATTATTTTTACATGTTTACACGCAACGTTTCAATATTGTTGTCATTGTGTTTGAGGAAAATATGAGCATTTTGTTGGCTGTTTTCATGTTGTGGTTGTTCATATTTGCTCACGTTACATTTTGCGTGATATACTTGTTAGTTGGAATTTTCGAAAAGGGTGAAAATCTCACAAAACAAAAAGCTAAAGGTACGCTGATGACATGTACTTAAGAAAAAACTTGGGTTGAAAAAGATCCGGGACTTGGCAAATTTTGAAAATGTTGTAGGAACATTTTGACCACGTAAAATTTCGACGACATCAAGTGCGTCGAGAAGGAGGTTATTTGAGCATGCAAATGTTATGTTCAAATATGAATAACTATCTGTAGGTTTCTTTCTGAAGGACGCGTAGAGAGAGCGTAGAGACGGGCTGCATACAAGGCTTCACGTGGATAACACTAAATATGGGAATGTTAGAGGCAATTATTCTTATATGTATATATAGTAGTTCATTTCTAGAATTTAGGGTGTTCATTTTATTATAAAATCTCATTGAAAACTCGAAGTACCAACATTGAGAGAAAAGAGTCATGACTGAGAGAATGTATGAACAATGAAACACCGTCTTTTATTTTCAATGCAAAGTCTTTAAAAATTCTTTTTACTTTGCTTTTCTTTGCTTCATCATTTAATTTTCATTCTCGCTCAAGTACATTGCTTTATACTTTCAATTCTTGTTATTTTCTTTACATTTTCAACACTGTCGAAGCCCACATCTTTTACGTTCTTTTAGTATTTTTTCGACTAAGTCACAACTAAGTTATATCAATAGAAAACTAAAATAAGGTACTTTGACACTATATCATAGGATTCACTAGTTGATCCTACAAGTAACCTTAAATTAAGAGACTAGCGCTTGCTTACCAATTTCATGTGTAAACAATACTCTGCATTCTATTTTTGGTTGTTAACTTAGTATGTGCATGATTCGATTCACGTGATTCTGTGTCATATATGCTTCTATCCTCTTATTCTGTTGCGTTTGTTTATCAACAATTTATGATTCGATTTATTTACGACATTAAGTTATGCCTCTTGTTAGAGTTTGCATCGTCACGTTAGAATTCACACCCCTCGCGGTGGAACTCGCGAGCTTAGGTTAATATTCTTACCTTTTCATTATTCTTCAACCATTTTTACCACCAATTCAATATAAATTTCAACCATTTCACAAATCTTTCCAAAACTAATTGTAACATTAATATAAGTTTCAATATATATATATATATATATATATATATATATATATATATATATATATATATATATATATATATATATATATATATATATATATATATATATATATACACTATTTTTTCTAAATAATGAGAAATACATATAAAAGTTATGTTTGGAAGTTGGACTCCGATGGGTTCTCGATGGCAAGTTGCTATAATCTGTTATCAAAGACTAATGTGGAGGGTACGATCACGGATGCATTGATTCTCAAAGGGTTGACGGATGTTTGTAGATCGAAGGCGCTAAGTAAAATTCAACTTTCGGGTGGAGATGCTTGTTGAATAGACTACCAACAAAGCTAAATTTAGAGAAAAAAGATATTATCTTATGCAATTCCATTTGTCCGTTTTGTTTTAATGCCGACAAAACTCTTTTTCATCCTCTCTAGTTTTGTGATGTCGCTAATTTGATATCAAAGCATTTTTGTGGGTGACTTGACATTGAGTTATGCAAGGAGCAGTTATCGTTAGCCATTCTATTTTTTCACTTTAAGAAACTTTGGTCAATCAAGTTCAAAGTCAAGTTCCACTGTTGTATGTGGTTAGCGGTGTGTTGGGTGTTGTGAACAATTAAAAATGCTATCATATTTGAAGAAGGGAGATTGGAGGAGATAGACATTTTGAGAATCATTGTATTAGTGACTAAGGAGTGATTGTTGGCCAAATATAATAATTGAATTATTGTGGATCCGACGATGTGGCAAAATAATTCTTCCTTCTTTTTAGTTGGATAATAGCCTTTCTCTTTGTTTTTTCTTTTCCTTTCTCCTTGTTTTTGTTAGGATTGATTAACCCTTATGCTCTTATTTAATATATTGCGTTGCTTATAAAAAAAAATCCTCCCTAATATTTATATTTATATACACAATCCTCGCTTGCACTAAAAAATACTTAAGAAACCAGGAGATTCTTAACGGCATCGTTTTGCTCCGTTTTTATTTCTAAAATTAATTTGAAAAGATTGGTTAGACTCGGATCATTGATTTTTATTATATATTTAGAAAAAACTAAAAACAAAATCGTTGCAACTTGTAACCACAAAGTAATGAAATAATAGTCTTGATTATTTAACAGGATAATGAAATTAAGAAGAAAAAAAACAGGAACATGACCGAACAAACCAAACGTGTGTATATATCCCTACAAAACCGACATTTCCTCATATTTGTTTAACCTCAAATTTTATGCTAACCACAAAACAAAACACAGCACAACCCTTTTCACTCGCTCATTGAAAAAGTCAAATCATTTCACAAACACAACAACAATACAAATTCATTATCTTCAAACTTAGCTCCCGATTTCATCTCAATCTCTCTAATTCTTCAACCTCTTAACTTTATTTCATTATTACTTAATTTAATCCATTTTTTCTCTTAACCTTTTTCTTCGATCCTTCAATGGATTCTGAGTTCTGGACCTCCCGTCTCGCCGCCGCGAAACGCCACTATACGTTTCAGCATAACCATCCAACTTCTCATTTAGGTTTGTATATCATGTTGTTGATTTTGGTTTTCATTATTTTTTGTTGATAAAATTTATCTGAATCTGATTTTTTTATATTTTCTGTGTGTTGGATCGGTTAGGAATAGATGATTTTGATGTTGAAGAAGAGGTGAGACCGGATTTCCCTTGTCCCTATTGTTATGAAGAGTTTGACATAGGGTCTTTGTGTTCTCATCTTGAGGATGAACATTCATGTGAATCAAGAGTTACGGTATGAATATGTTCTTATCTCTTGCATAGTTTTATTTGATTTCATGTGTTTTTTTGTAGTTTAGATCTATATAGATTATGTTGTTTTTCGTTTTTCAATTTTCAATATGTTTGTTTGGTGTGGAGATATTTAGATCCTGTTGGTAGCTTTGGTAGCAAAGTTGTTGGAAGCTTAGTATTAGTTTCTTCAAATGAATTGAAAACAAGAAGGTTTGGTATGTTTTTGACAGTTGTTGAGATGAAACTAATGAAGAATTGAATCTTCTCTGTTAAATTTTGTGGAGAAGGAAATTGAATGTGTCAAAGAGGACTTATATGGTCTAGTTGTGATTGTAGATTTGTAGGTTGGTATTCAATCATATAGTGACTAGACAATCAAATTTCTACTCATGGATAGAAAAAATTGGAGGGCTTAAAATCAAACAGGCTATGTAATGACCTTGTTTCTTCCGTCGTAGATATTCAGTGAACATATATATAGATCCAGTGAGAACTGTTTCTCTCTGTTCATTTCTGTTTGAATATTCTCATGTATTATATATCTGTGTTTTGTGTTTCGGATATACAATATATTTTCTGGTTTTTTGGTTCTGAATACAAAACAATGTAGAAATAAAACGGGATGTAAACAGTTGAATTCAAGTTGGGTGGCTGAAATGGAAGAGGATTTTAGGGGTTTTATGTGACACAAAGGTACCCTTCAAGTTAAAGGAAACATTTTATTGGACTGCGGTATGACCTCTTATGTTGTACAAGAGAGAACATTGGACGGTTAAGAATCAACACGAGAATAAAGTAAGTGTAGCAGAGATGAAGATGCTGCGTTGGATATGTGGTAAGACTAGATACGATAAGTTTGAAATGACAATATTATAGAGTGTTGGGGTAGCACATATGGTGGAAAAGATGGTAGAAAATAGACTTAGGTGGTTTAAATGTTATCAAATTGCGGCGCCATGGCCGCGATACATGACGGTTTCTGGGCTTGCCGCAATGGTAAATATCGTCTGCTATTGCCGGTTTTTCTGCCATAATCCGCAATAACGGCGCCGCAAAGTGGCCGGTATGGCGGGATTTTGGCTCTCCGCCATGGACCGCCATCCGCCATCGACAACACTGGGTGGTTTGGGCATAAAAAGAGAAGACTTATAGATTATGTGGTAAGGAGGGTAGATTAAATGGAGAGAAGTCAAACAACTAGAGGTAGAGGAAGATCTAGAAAAACTATATGAGAAGTGTTAAGAAAAATCTCGAGATTAATGATTTGGATAGAAACACGGTCTTGGATAGAACATTATGGTAAAAGTTGATCCATGTAGCCGACTGCACCCCACTTGGTGCGATAAGTCTTTGTTGTTGTATACTCCTCCTAACAATCATCTTTTGAGATAGGAAGTTATTCTAAATCGTTTCACAAAAAATTGGCATGTTAGCTGTCCTCACGAATCGTCTGGTAATTGATATGAACCATGTGCTCAATTGGGGTACAGTCTGGTAATTGATATGAACCATGTGCTCAATTGGGGTACAGTTGATTTTGCGTATGATGTATATGCTTATCATATATGTTTGCTGCATTTGAAGAACCTGTATGAATATACTTTATTAAGATAAACTCATAAGCTTCAATTTAGTGATTATTGTTTCTCTTCGTTGTAATTATTTCCATACATCCCAGGGATTTGAAATGACACTGAATAAAGTTAATAGCTCTTGTGCTTTTGATACATAATTTATCCTGAGATAAATAATTTCCTCTCAAGATGAATATTACATGATCCAATATGTCTAACTCATATTAACCTTTGTTTCATCTATCATACAGATTTGTCCTGTATGTTCGGTTAAAGTTGCCCGCGACATGTTGAGCCACTTAACTCTGCAACACGGAAACCTGTTTAAGATATCCTTTATATTATTGTTGTTATGATTCAATATATTAGCCTTTATAAACTTATGAATTGTTTGTCAAGTGCGAAATGAAAAACTTTAATTGCTTCCCTTAACCGAAGATTACATTCAGAGAAGGCGCAGGTTAAGAAGAGTTGCTATCCCGAACAGTCAGTCATTGTCTCTCTTAGGTCGAGATCTCCGGGAAGCTCATTTACAGGTGCTTCTCAATGGTGGAGGCGGATACCGGTCGCACAGTAACTCAGTATCCAATGTGCCTGCTGATCCGTTCCTGTCCTCTTTTATTTTGAATTACCCTCAATCCGAAGCTGAAGAAATCTCTAAATCTGTCGTAACAAGTGCTGAAGATTCTTCGTCTACAAAGAACACAGCATCACCTGTACAACATATTTGGAAATCAAGGTGCTGGTTTTCTTAGTAAAGTTTAACTCTTTAATCACATTTATGAATTTCACTCTATATACACAAATCATGACTTTGACCCGTGTCTTGTATTCTGTTTGCAGTTTTGATCAATCATTGAGTATCGAAGAGCGGGAGAAAAGGATTAGGCAAGCTGCTGGGAGGTCTAGTTTTGTGCAGGATTTGTTTCTGTCAACCTTGTTAGGAGACGAATAATGGAAAGCAAAGCTGTAAGTTGATTAGAAATAATAATCAAAAACATAAGGTCCGGCCTTAAGGATCTTGATGAAAGATGTGTCCAGTGGGATACAATTGGTAGTTGATGTTAGCCTAATTGTGATATTGTGGCAGCAGCACTTTATGCATATATAGTGTTGAATCTGATGATAGTTACCATTTATTTATCCCACACATGTAAGCATCTTTCACTAGAGTTGTATTTTATTTTTCTTAAAAAATGTAATGGAATGACTTATTTTGTTATATTGGTTTAAAAATCATTTTCTAGTTCATAAATTCACGAATCCGGATATGAATTTCTGAAAGTGTCGAATCAGAGATTGAATGATTGTGTCTATTATTTGGCCTGTCTTCATAATTTGTAATTGAGGAAAACTCAGGGCCAAATCTAATTAAAGCAGATTTTCTTTATAAACTAAGGACAGATTCAAGTGTTATCATGCCTAGCCACTGTTTTGTATATTGACATGCATTGTCCTTTGAATATTATTGTGTATTACTCTTATTGTGTATTACTCCAAGACAACATGCATGTCCTTTGAATATTACGATGTATCAAGAACTTCAGAAGAGCGTACAAATACTTAACAATTTTTTTTCAAGTGAGTTTTCAAATGCTATGACCAGATTTAAGATTTAATACTAGGACCTACTTAGGCTCCTTCCACAAGTTGAATCATGACTCTAATATTATCTAAGAAAATTAATTTAATAATATTATATAAAAAAATAAATTTTTAAATTATTTTTTCCAATATAAATTTATTATAAGTGGGTCTCTTAATTTGTGTTTTTCGAAGTTAAGAATTAAATTAAGAAATATTTTCTTAGAAATTGTGTACAAACTTTAATTAAAGTATATCAATACAAATTTACTATAAGTGGGTCTCTTAACTTGTGTTCTTGGTGCAAGTTAGTATTACCTTAAAGATAAATAGAAAACATAATTAATATACAAATTTACTGAAAAAGAAAAACATAATTATGGGTATTAGTGTTATGACTTTATTATTTTTAAAACAAATATATATTTCTAATTTATAAATGAATTATGAAATATTTGGGTGAACGGTATATTTTTGTTATTAACAGTCTAATTTTTGCTTTGATATTATTGATAAAAATATTCGAATCAAAAGACAATTTGTTATCATTTAAAGAAAATATTAAAATTCACTCATTAATTTAAAAATAAAACTTGTCATTAATAAAATATATTAGTGAAATGTATACATAGCTAAGTTTTTGCATGTATTATTTTAAAAAAATATAGTATTTTCAATTAAAAATAATTTTAAAATAAAAGTATTAATAATATAAATAATTTAAAAATAACACTTTTTTTCCATGTTTGTACTCATATATTATTTTAAATATATTTAATTTTATTTTATTTATTTGTATAAAAAATGTATTAACCCGTACATTTTTAAAATAAAAATATATTTTGATTTATATATAAATCATAAATATAATTTTTTTATATATAAAAATATTTGGATGAACGATATTTTTTTTGTATGTATATTACTTTTGTTTTTGACATTATTTATAAAAATGTTTGAATAAAAAACACTTGTTCTCATTTTAAAAAAAATTAAGACATACTTATTAATTAAAAAATAATATTTTTTATTGATAATATATATTAGTAAAATGATTACATCAATAATATATAGTTCACTTTTTCATATACTATCGTAAAAAGTATTGTATCTTAAATTTAAAATAATTTTAAAATAAAAATATTAGTAACATAAATAATTAAAAGACAATATGTTTTTCCCGTGTGTGTGTGTGTGTGTGTGTGTGTGTGTGTGTGTGTGTGTGTGTGTGTGTGTGTGTGTGTGTGTGTGTGTGTGTGTGTGTGTGTGTGTGTGTGTGTGTGTGTGTGTGTGTGTGTGTGTGTGTGTGTGTGTGTGTGTGTGTGTGTGTGTGTGTGTGTGTGTGTGTGTGTGTGTGTGTGTGTGTGTGTGTGTGTGTGTGTGTGTGTGTGTGTGTGTGTGTGTGTGTGTGTGTGTGTGTGTGTGTGTGTGTGTGTGTGTGTGTGTGTGTGTGTGTGTGTGTGTGTGTGTGTGTGTGTGTGTGTGTGTGTGTGTGTGTGTGTGTGTGTGTGTGTGTGTGTGTGTGTGTGTGTGTGTGTGTGTGTGTGTGTGTGTGTGTGTGTGTGTGTGTGTGTGTGTGTGTGTGTGTGTGTGTGTGTGTGTGTGTGTGTGTGTGTGTGTGTGTGTGTGTGTGTGTGTGTGTGTGTGTGTGTGTGTGTGTGTGTGTGTGTGTGTGTGTGTGTGTGTGTGTGTGTGTGTGTGTGTGTGTGTGTGTGTGTGTGTGTGTGTGTGTGTGTGTGTGTGTGTGTGTGTGTGTGTGTGTGTGTGTGTGTGTGTGTGTGTGTGTGTGTGTGTGTGTGTGTGTGTGTGTGTGTGTGTGTGTGTGTGTGTGTGTGTGTGTGTGTGTGTGTGTGTGTGTGTGTGTGTGTGTGTGTGTGTGTGTGTGTGTGTGTGTGTGTGTGTGTGTGTGTGTGTGTGTGTGTGTGTGTGTGTGTGTGTGTGTGTGTGTGTGTGTGTGTGTGTGTGTGTGTGTGTGTGTGTGTGTGTGTGTGTGTGTGTGTGTGTGTGTGTAGATATATATATATATAGAGAGAGATTTAGACTGACTTAATTGGTAGGCATGGTCCAATCCACTTCTGCTCCTAGAACGACCTATAGCCTTAGCCCTGCTAACTAATGGCAAAGTGAAGCTTCCTCTTCTCTGCCTCTCTGTCGAGGAAAGCTGGTCAGTTGACCCCCAGGATCAGCTGTCCCTCGTCACATTCCTGTCCGTCACGCACGGTTTCACCATCCAAAAAAATTCGTTTGTGCCAGCGACCACGCTTTTGTTTGTGACAACGACTAGTTTCGAGCACTTTTGTTCGTCCCAACGGCTAGTTTCTGGCAGTAACCTATTCTTTGGGGAGCGGTTATCTCCCCCTGAAAATAGAGACCAATGGCCAAGCGTTGGGGGAGTATATAAAAACCATCTCACTAGAGAGGGTCAGGTATTCTAAATCATTCCAAATTACCCTAAGACATACACTTTCTGTACTTGCCTTCTCTTCGTCTGATTCTTACTTTAACATCGAAATGCCTTGCAGGTACACCCCTTCCTCATCCTTACAACTCAGCATCACCAACAAAGTCTCTGGCCCACTTCAGTTTGTGATCAGCCGCCGAGATCAGTGGTGTCGTCTATGGAAAACTCTGTTCTCCCCGTCTTCCTTTTCCCGTGAATTCGAGGCCAAAGTAGTTCTTTCAAGATTCCGATCATGGTCAGCCAAGGCAATGTCCACGATGCTCGCAATACCATCCTCCCCGTCAGCAAGACAGACAATGACGGATAAACCCCCTTTCTTGGGAACGAAGTCTATCAGCATAGAGATTGAGCCACCGCGTCTCCTTCCCCCGTTCACGTTGACAACGCCAGGGGCCAACCCTCCGAAGATCATCAGATCGTTCCGTATCCACCCAACGCTGACCCGACAATGGTGGCTCTACTCGAGGTCCTAAACAAAACAAATCTTTTGATTCTCCAACAGAATGCAAGAATTAGGTCCCTAGAAGAATCCCGCCGACCAAGATCACCTTTATCGAGGAAAGAACGCTGATGATCTCAGAGTCTTTCACCTAGACGAGGAAGAGATCGTCGAGCACAAGCAGAACCAGACTCTCTGGTAGTAAGAAAGCGCGACCATGCCTCTCCCCGGAGCCAGCACTCATCTGAGACTAAGATAACCATAAGGGATCTTCGGACAAAATGTCATCGTTCGCCTCCACCCAGATCCAAGGGCCGAGCTCGAAGTTTATATCCCCGCAGAGATCATAGTCCTCTCCCTAGATGAAGTACCCGCTCCTGCTCGATGTCTAGCAACAACAACGACGATGAGCCTTGCGATCCGTTATCCCAAGAGATTATGGCCATGCGCCTACCCAGAGGGCTGGAGAAACCCCCACGCTTGGGCACGTATAATGGCACCATAGATCCTGACGAGCACATCGAGAATATCGATGCCTTGCTTGATTACCGTGGCGTCAGAGGTGCCATAAAATGTAGATTGTTCCCAACCATGCTGAGGAAGAGAGCAATGACTTGGTACAAGAAGATCCCCGACAAATCCATCACATCTCGGAGGCAGTTGAGGAGGATGTTCTCCAGGAATTTCATGGCCTCTCGTTGTCACCCAAAGACATAAGCCTCCCTTGAGGCTATCATTTAAGGGAAAAAAGAACCTTTTCAAGTCTATATCGAAAGGTTTAACTAAGAAGTCGTCCAAGTCTCCACGACCGAAGATATGAAGAAGTTCTTACTCGAGCGAGGACTCTGTCCCTGCACCGAATTTTCCAAGGCGATTGGTATTGAGACTCCAACGACCCTGGTGTTGCACCCCAAAATTTGCCCTCACAATACAAGACTTTGTGTTCTAAGAAGGTTCACAAGGTTCACAAGTTCTCCAACAACTTGCATAACCTTTCATGAAGTTCATAAAGTCCACAAGCTACTTTATGAAGGTTCACAAGGTTCACAAGTCCCACAGTGCTTTCAATACCTTTCATGAGGTTCATGAAGTCCATAGGTTGCTTCTTGAAGGTTCACAAGCTTCACAATACCTCCCATGAGTATCACAAGATATCTTATGAAGATTCACAAGGTTCAAAAAGTTCACAATTGGTCAGAAGAGTTGACAATTCCCTCAGACAATGCACCTCCTAAGCAGTGCATCCAAAACTAGGGTTTTGACTTTAATCAGGCTAAATGGACTTCCAAGACTTCAAGTGAGCTTCATAACATCTTATATGTGTATAAGAACCCCCATGTCAAGTTTCAAGACTTTTCTCAAAAGTTTGCTCAGTCAGATGATCAGATAAGTCAAAAGCAGTCAATGCAGTTAAAAAGTCAAACTGAGGTCAACTGTGGTCAAACCAAAGTCAAACTTCATGATTTTTTTT